CAAAAAGTTTCCCGATGTTTCTCTCTCTCTTTCTTTCTTTCTCTCTCTCTCTCTCTCTCTCTCTCTCTCTCTCTCTCTCTCTCTCTCCTTCTCCCTTCCTCTCTCTCTAAAACCAGAGGGAGGGAGAGCCCAGGAATCAGAATTTTTACGACACTTTGCAGGGCAGTCTGATATGCAGCCAGCTTGTCTGCTTTCTAGGCATGGCTCAGGGCATCTGAAGGACTGCTCTTTGTCTTCTGGTAAAAAGGAGGCCAGATTTGGTTGTAGGGACTTTGGGGTGCAATTATCACAGACCACCCTGACAAGTGGTGCTACCAAGGTCTACATTCAGAAGCGTTACAAACATGTTCTGTTGAAGTACAACCCACACAGAAAACTGCACAGCTCATAAATGTAAAGCTCAATGAACATGTGCAAAATGCACAAAATTTACAAAGGGAACACACCTGAGTAATTATTACCCAGAAGGAGAAGTTTCCAGAAGGCCCCGTAGGGCCCCAAGGGTGGCCACTACTTTGACGTCGAACAGCATAGATTAGTTTTTTCCATTTTGAATTTTATATAGCAGGAACGATATACTGTCTTCTATTGCATGTTTGGCTTCTTTGGTTCAAGATCATGTTTGTGAGATTCACCTGAGCACTTGTGTGTAGCTCCAGAGAGCTCCATGTGTGACTGTTACATGGTATATTGATCTAGTCTATTGACAGACATTTGGGAAGGTCCCGATGTTTAGCTAGTATAAATATGCTGTTTTCACATTTTAAGGTGTGTCTTTTAGTGGACAAACGTCCTCAGTCCTCCTGAATCTATACCAAGGTGTGCCCATGCTGAGTCACAGGGTATTCAAATATTCAGCAATGGTAGAAATGGCCAAACATTTTCCCAAAGTGATTATACCAAGTTACACTCCATCCAATAGAGTACGAGAGTCAGGAGTGGTTTTAGATCCACGTCAGTGACTTGGGCACGTTTTTAAACCTCTCTCAGCCTCAGTGTTTTATTCTGTAAAGTAGAACTTCTGTGAAGACTCAGTAGAAGCTTTACTCTGGTGGTTGGTCTTTCCTGAAAAGCTCTGGAGTCTTTTAGAAATCTGTGCAGGTAATGCTCATGCAATGAAACTCAACAATCTACTCAGGAGAGTCCATCAGAACAAGTTATATGTAAGTTCACTTTGTATGGTGAAGCTTTCTTTTTTAAAAAAAATATATTTTATTGATTTTTTACTGAGAGGAAGGGAGAGAGATAGAGAGTTAGAAACATCGATGAGAGAGAAAGATCGATCAGCTGCCTCCTGCACACTTCCTACTAGGGATGTGCCCGCAACCAAGGTACATGCCCTTGACTGGAATCGAACCTGGGACCTTTCAGTCTGCAGGCCGACACTCTATCCATTGAGCCAAACCGGTTAGGGCAAAGCTTTCTTATATGACTGGCTGTTTGCATCCATTCACATGGGATAACTTTTTTTTAACACTTAAAAAAAATTCTAAGAGAGGAAGGGAGAGAGAAAGAAAGAAAAAGAAACACTGGATGTGAGAAACACTGATTGGCCATCTCCCGTAAGTGCCCAGACCCTCGATGGGGGACCGAACCTGCCAACCCAGTTATGCACCCAGACTAGGAATCGAACCGGCAACCTTTCGGTACACAGGACAATGCTCAACCAACTGAGCCACTCCAGCCGGGCTCATGGGATTACTTTTTGTTTCATGTTAACTGTCATGTGTCTTTGAGACAACATCTAATACAAATGTCATTAATATTTGTTGAAACTTCTACACACCCCATCTCCTTCCAACTCTGATGGCTTTTGGTTTCTTATCATTTTGTTTATACCTTGACAAGTTAGAAAATCTTGAAGGTGCTGTAGGCAACCTGTAAAGGCTTATCCACAGACACAGACTGGGGAATTTATATAAAGATATGTCGTCTTTTTCAGAATGTCCCAAATGAATGCAAATACTGATGGGGGGGGGGGAGGTGTGTGCATTAACTAGAAATCAACTAGCTGAGGCTTGAAAAAATACTTGCCTTCTTCCTCCTCTTCCCTTCTCACCTCCCCTACCCCTGCCTTCTAGGCTATACATTGCTTTGTGAAAATTCAGTGGCTTCTTGGTCAATCTACTTTGGAAGACAGTTGGGTGACATTGTATAAAACCTGTGACCCAGAAATTCCATGCCTAGGGCTGTACTTACAGAGATGCACGCTTATAGGCGCCCGAAGGCAAGGGTGTTTAAGGGCCCCAAATGTCCACCAACAGGATAATGGATAAACAAACTGTGGCGGACTTTCAGTGGAATACTATACAGCAGTGAAAGCGAATCGGTTGCAACTACATGTGACAACAGTTGAATCTTAAAGACATAATATTGAGCCAAAGAAGCCAGTCCTCACAGAATACATACTACTGGATTCCATTTAGATAAAACAAAAAAGATGCAAAGTAGAACTGTATTGTTTAGGAATGCACAATAAGGTAGTAAAGGTATAAAGAAAAGCAAGGTTGTTGACACCATCAAGTCAGGAGAGAGATTATTGCTGGGGGGGGGGTGTGTTTTTATGGGGCGCTGGCAATGTTTCTCGCTCTGGATTTGAGTGTTAGTTTTATGAGTATTTATTTCACAGCAATTTCTTAAACTGTATATTTTTGCTTTAGGCATTTTTCTGTGTTTATTCACCTTCACAATATAAAAGGGGGACATGGGAAATAAACCACACTTGCTCATGCGAAGTGTATCACCCAGAGGCCCTATCCAGCCAACGAAGACCTGGTTAGTTACCTGCTCCTGGCAGTTAGGGTCTGCCGACTCCGGGGTCTTTTCAAAGATGGGGTGAATCTTTTAAAAAATAATTTTTATTTTTCAATTGCAGGTGATATACAATATTATATTAGTTTCACGTGTACAACCCAGTGATTGGTCATTCTATCACTTAGTGATCATTCCGATAAATCTCATACTCATCTGACACCATACATAGTTATTACAATATAATTCACTGCATTCCCTATGCCAAACTTTACATTCCCATGACTATTTTGTAACTACCAATTTGTACTTCTTAATTTCTTCCCTTTTTTTACCCAGCCCCTCAAATCCCCTCCCATCTGGCCACCATCAAAATGGTCTCTGTATCTATGAGTTTGTTTCTGTTTTGTTTGCTTATTGTTTTTTATATTCCAAATATTAGTGAAATCCTATGGTATTTGTCTTTCTCTGTCTGGCTTATTTCACTTAGCGTAACACCCTCCAAGTCATGTGTATCTTTTATTCCAGCTTGCCAGGCCCCTGAGATATGAAACTTTGACAGAAGTACCCAGTTTTCAAATGTTGTCTTTTGCTGAATAGGCCACAGTTTGTGTAGAGATGGACTAATTGCACCTCTAGACACCAAACCCCTTCTTTTTAAAGTTGTTTCTTCCCTCCCTTTCTCCCTCCTTCTGCCTGCAAGATGCTGGGTGCGTCCGGTTGTCTGCAACTGAAGGGGATGGAACCCGTAGGAAAACAAGGTTTCCTCCCCGGGAGGAGGAATCTTTCGTCCCAACTTCCCCCCAACCTCCCGACCATCCGCTCTCCCTTCTCCCCCCCCACAAACTCCGCGGAGCCGGGTCCCCTCGCGCCTCCGCGATTGGTCGCGGGCCATCATGTGTCGACACTCTGGGTGGGTCTTTCTCGCTTTCAACTCATCAATCGCTTCTCTTTGGGGCTCGGCTGCCCAGTGGTTCAGACCTTTGCGCCCATTTTCCTCCTTCCTTCCTCTTCACCCACCCCTTCACACCAGTCTTATTTTAGCAAAACCTAGAGGAGGAGGAGGAGGAGGAGGCTTTTGGAGGGGGAGGAGGGAACGCCAGGCATTGCAGCATCCGGGAGCAGCTATTGAGTGGCTAAGCGACGGCGCATACCTCTCTCTCTCTCTCTTTTTTCCCCCTGTTGGGAATTTTCAGGATTTCATTGCTGCAATTTAACCCCAGGATGAGGCACGGTTGAGCGAAGCGCTGCGCGCACACACACTCACACTCAGCAGAAGAGGCAGCCGCGGGTTGATTCAGGAAGAAAAAAAAAAATCACCTGGACCCTGCGGCCTCAAGACTCCTGAAAAGCCCCCATCCGCCTCCGCCCCGAGCGTCTCCCTCCCCTCCCTCCTCTCCTTACCCCGTTAATATTTTTTACTTTAATTTTATTTTGGGGCTACGGATCTTTGACTTTTAAGGTCTAGGAACTCAAGCGAAACAAAAAGGGCGATTTCTTCATTGGGGAGGGGGAGCTGCCCGCTCCCCACCAAAGACTTGGTTTTTATTTTTTTCTAATAAAATTTTTTAAAAATGGGCCGGGCGCACTCCTTTTGCAAGATGCCAGCCTGACCCGTACCTCGGAGGAATTTGAAGCTTCCACTGCGTCCCGGGGGGCGTCCTTTGCCAACCGCTCGCATCTTAAAGGGGGTGTGCGTTGGTTGTGTGTGTGTTGTTGTTTTTTAAGTGCCTTTTTCTTTTCTTTTTTTTTTTTTTTCTCGGAGGGGGGGGGCCTGGGGATTGCCTGGATTCCTTCCTCGGGTATTTTTGCCTCGGTTCCCTCTCCCCTCCCCCCTCCCGGGCCCCGGGCCCCGGGACCCGACCCTCATCCCGGGCCGCCTTCTCCGGGGTCAGCCAGGAAGGTGGCCCGGGGGTGCTATCCCGGGCTGGGGCGGGCAGCCGCTGGTGAGCCCCCGACCCGAGGCGGGGGAGCCGGGGGCGGCCCGATGGGCTGGGCCGGGGGGCGGCTCCGGAGGGAGGTCCGGGGGGCGTTTTCGAACCCCGGCAGCTTCAGAGGGGGGATCGGGGCGGGGGGGCTTTCGCATCGTTGCCCCAGCGGAACCCCGGAGCCCCTTTGCTCCTTTTCAGAGGGCCCCGTTTCG